AAGCATTCTATAATCTACGAAGTCTAAATTGAACTATGACTATTTAATCGTTCGCATAATTCAGCGTAAATAGGTGTCTATCTCCAATTGCTATTTCCATAACCCAACAGGTTCTGCTCCAGTTTTCGAAACCTCTTCTAAGTATGTATATGTCTAAGAGGAATGGGGAAAGGCTACACTCTTGTAGCCTTTTAAGACGATTCGCTATACTTAATACAAGTTAAATGTTCTGCATACAAGGTATCTATTATCATTATTAGGTGAGTTTAGATCTTTCCATATGATTTGTTACCATTATAAAATGTGAGTTTTGTTCTTTCCATAGGATTTGTCTGGACACATAAGTTTTTCCTATAAAAGCCATGTGTGTTTCAAGGTTTCTTGTTGACACATTTCTCTATTAGTTGCTTTAAAACAAACGGCAAGCAAGTAAGCAATAGTATTTAACTAATCCTGATGACTTGCACACCCCTTAAGAATGCGATTCGGGTGACACAATTATTCATTGGAGCGAGGAGAATTAACTCATGTAAACAGAAATCACTTCGCCCGTCTCTAATGCTCCACACTATCCACTTTCTCCCCAATAGTACTTTGATGCGCTATATAGTCTACCAGAAAAGTGCTTGTCATATGGGGGTCCTGGATTAAAGGGGGCTCACACGAAATCCTACTCCGAACAATGCAGTCCAGCGTAAGGCACTCTATTTCCACTATCTCTAGTAACTCATCGATCTGTATTGCTTGCTCGGGGCTTGAGTCTACGCTCTGGACTAAGCCAGTTCGGTGACTCGGCGCTCAAGGATGTGGGCCTCCCATGCCCGTTTTTTGAGTTTTGTTTTAGTTTTTTTGTGGTTTGTGCCTTTTGTTAGTGATTAACTACGAATCTACGGTTGATCTCCCTGTCTTATATCCAGTCTGGTCTTCACTTATTATATTTTTTGTTATACTTAAAAATTTCATTTGAATTGTTCTGCCGTACAGTCTACTAATTTACATAATAACACTTGTAATTGGAGGATAATTTTATCACCCTTTTTATATATTAATATGAATTTGACGTTTATCAGTTAATGAATTAATCAGTTCTGCTAGTCAGTAGTGCAGTCCTTGCGGTACTGATCATCTCCTATATTTAATTGCGCCGCAAGTATTTTTAAAATATTCTATCATTACAGTGGGTTTGCATCGATTTTCTCGGTGTATTAATCTTTTTCATCTGCCTTGGTAGCGTTCCGTCATGTTTCTATGAGAAGGTTGCTATAATGTTGCACCCGTTTTTCATGCTAGAATGATACTTAAGGTCGATTCAGACACATCAGTCACGTCACAGTCTCGGCGGCGAACCGGTCCTGTTTGGTCACAGAACTATTAATTATCTGACAGCTGGGAAACTGTTCGTCGCCTGATGAATGTGAATGCCGGCGCCATATTTCTATTAAAGAATATTTTATATGACGGATTATTCGGTTCGGCGCCAGGACTGTGACGAGACGTGACTGATGTGTCTGAATCGACCTTTACTCTGCGGTTTTCATTTTGATTCGTTTTTATGTTCTTAATGACATTTCCACACTTCTCTCTATAGCGTTCCTACTATGTCCTTACCATATAATTTAGTTATGGTCCGTTTAATATCACTACAAAATAATGTGTTAACAAAATATTATAAACTCGTGATATGTCGTATTCTCTGTCATACATTTTGGAAAATCCAGTTTTATTAGATTCCCAAATACAAATTGATATTGTATTTTCAACAAATTAGTATCTTTCGATAAACTTTTTTAGTAGAAGAATTAGAACAAATGGCCAAATAATTTATTTACTAAGCGCCTAATAGGTGATAATTGCGTCTGACGTAAATTTCAAGGCAATAGTCTATGTTGATGCCACTATTCTGTTCTAATACAAAATACATGAATACTTTTAATGGTAAATCACACGACTATCTAATATGAATATGTAAATTACAAGCGGCAAAATGACGTTTTTCGCATTAACTTAAGGTAATAAAAATATTATAGTCAATAAATAATAGCAGTATATACACTGCTCGCTAAAATTAGCGCATAACTTAAAAAATTCTGGTAATTCAAATAATTATGTTTCTATTTTTGTGATAATATATTGTTACCTCCGATATATTGTAAAATTTATTGAAAGAACGGTTGAAAAACGTTGATGTTTTATCATTTTTTGCAAGCAAATTAAAAACATGCTAGTTGTGCTTCACTTTAATTCGAATTTAGTTAGGTTGGAATAGGTTGTGCTGAATGTTCAAAGGCATTTTTCAAGGTTATTATGTGTTTTTCCTTTAAAATGAAGCACCTGCAGCAAGAAAATCGAAAGTTCTCAGAAAAGACTGTATTAGAATCGTTACTCTTCGCGAGGAAGAATACCGTCAAGTTGAACTCCTTGAACGGTTTAATGTCACTCAGTCAATCATTTCAAACGAATCTTACGTTTTTTACTGTTACGTTAGACCCGGTCAAGGCCGTAGAAGGGTTACAACTCCTAATCAAGACCGGTTTTGCTTCTCTACAAAATGAATTTTTTTGTATCTTGATAACTTTAGAATTAACCAAAATATGATAAGGATATGATTGACCGCAAACGACCTAAGCCCTGGAAGGGCACCCACTGACCCATTAGTGACCAGAGATCATACAAGGCAAATATTGCATTTTGCTCCTGAACATGTTGTTTGGTTGAGGAGTCTTAGTTAACAACATCAGACATGCAGATGATACAGTAATAATAGCCGATAGTTTACAAGACCTGGAAAGACATAAGTAAAATAGTAATGTGTAGTAGGGAGTACGGACTCTCGCTCAATATCAAAAAGACGAAGTTCATGAAAATTTGTAAAAACAACCATAATACTAACGAAATCTTGATAGTAGAGGTCCAGCAGATCGAAAGAGTAAAAAAGTACACTTACCTAGAAACATTTATAACAGAAAATAATGACTACGCTGCAGAAATCAAAGTCAGAATCGAAAAAGCACTTTCTAATTTTATAAAAATGAAAAAGGTCCTATGTGGATAAGATTTAACATTAGCTCTTAAATTACTCCTAATAAAATGTAACGTATGCAGTGTACTATACTATGGAGTGGAATCATGGACGTTAAATCTAGACACAATGAGACGACTTAACGCCTTTGAAATGTGGACCTATAGAAGAATTATGAGGGTTTCCTGGGTAGATAGAGTTACGAACAATGAAGTACTGAGAAAAATAGGTAAAGAGAAGGAAGTTGAACTTACAATTAAAGAAAGAAAGCTACAGTATCTCGGACATATGATGCGGGGCGAGAAGTATGGCATCCTGCGACTCATAATGCACGGAAAGATAGGTGACAGAAGAGGCATCGGAAGAAGACGAATTTCATGGCTTAAGAACCTGAGAGAATTGTTTGGATGCAGCTCAAAACGTCTATTTAGAGCTATTGCCTCAAAAATTAAAATAGCTATGATGATTGCCAACCTCCGTAGCGGAGATAGCACCTGAAGAAGAAGAATGTTGTTTGGAATAATGTCTATAAAAAAACAACAATATTTTAATATAATAATATTTGTTTAGAGTAATTAGCGAAATCTGATAATTTTAAATTATTTCCTAATAATATCCTTATTTGTGATGTTATATTGTTTTCTTGATTTATAGGCCGTAATGTGAAATTATTGAAATGAAACGTTACATTTAATTTTTATTACAATCAATTGTGGTTTTATCCCATATAAATTAGTAATGTACCGATTCGGGTACCTGCCCAATCCGGCTGAAATTGGAATTCCTGCCGCTAACCGGACCGGACCTCGTAATTTCGGCGAGATCAGGATCTTCCTATAAGGAAGTAATCCAACCATTTAGTATTGTTTTTTTGAACTTTTTTTTCGTAGAGAAAGACATTTCTGCATCTAGATCTACTTGTTCTATCCAGACTAGAAAGTTAACTTGAACTGAATTCAAATCTTTACACAAAGTATGGAACATCAATGATAAATCTGCGGAGAGAATTTGTTATAAAATTGCGGAAATGATTTGTATTTGTAATCAACCGTTTTCCTTTGTAAAAAATGCTGGGTTTATATGCATTTGCTAAATAATATTTACACCTTCATCACCATTTACACCATTTACACCTTTATCTTCAATATAAAACACCCTCCAGAAAATATATAAGTGAAAAATAATCAATATTTACAATAGGGTTAGGAAAAAAATCCAAAGCTTTGAAGGAATCGGCATCGATTTCTATAATATCAAAGTTTTATTAGTGTGACAGGCCTTTGCATTCTAGTAATGTGGGCAAACGCAATTTTATTTTCTCTTGCAATACTGGAATTTTATACTGGGCAGAAGGTAGATTTGCAGAAATTTATATCAGACTTGCAATAGCGTACAAAATTGCAACATTGACTTACTAGTTAATAAAATCTTTGGAATGCCTATGTGCACTATTATTGTCCATCCAAGAGACTATGCAAAAACTTTTGCAAACACACATTTGCTGGTTTACACAAAAGGAATTTTTGTGAATACTACAAACTTACAATTCCTCTTATGTTAAAAGTGGGACAACTCTTTGACAGATCGGAGAGCACTCTATGCATTATATTTGGAGTAAATCCTTGACGGATCTTTAAGGACTTCTGAAACAGAGATGTTGCTTTGTGTCCGTTTAAATTCGCTATGGTTTTTGGGGAATCTATTTGATATTTATGTCTTATGGACACAAAAGACTAACATTGTTGTCATTTGTATATTTATGTTTTGCGACGTAAACAAATTATTGTCAAAAGTGAAGTTCAAACTTTTTTACTAAATTAAAAATATTTTTAAAAAGTTTGTTAGATGTTCAAATGTATTTATTCGAACTAGCATTAATATGCATTATTTTATTGTGACCGTTGACCTCTATCCAGGCTGATATATACATTTTATCTCACGTTCTTCTAGTATATAGATTTAATAGATATATTTGTTCCAGCGGAGGGCTCTCCAACCATCTGTTCCACGTCTCTCTCCCGGACTCTCTAAAGACGGCTGATGCCAACGTCGAGCAAGAACCCAAAGACGTACTGATCCGTGTCTATGGACAAACCCACGGAGAAGGCGCTTTGGAGGCCCTCATCACCGAATCAGTAATCTTCACCTTACTCTCCGAACGTAATCTAGGACCAAAATTGCACGGGATTTTCCCCGGAGGAAGAATCGAAGAGTACATCGATGCCAGGCCTCTTTTAACTAAAGAGTTGTCAGACGAACGGCTGTCGGTATCAATTGCCAAAAAAATGGCAGCTATTCATTCGATGGAGGTAAGTTTTTGAATGGTTTTTATTAATTCACTTTCTTTTTAGATTTTTAAATCGAGGTAAAGAACCATTTATTTCTTTTTTTTTTAAGTTTTAAGTCTTTTGGTTTACGTCAAGCCCATGGTTTTAGTTATTTTGCGACATTTGGATGAAAAAATTCACAGATTGTTAGTAATATATTTCACTATTCCACTATTCGCTTTAAAAATAACCCAAATTCTTTAATTTATTCTACAGTGTAAAAACACCTTTTATATAAAAAACAATGATAGTATCCAAAAAATTACGGGATGAACCCATTTAAAAAACATTCAACACTGCACTGCACTGGCTATATGCAGAAGAAAAATAAAAATGAGATATGTTTCCGTTTTTATGTAGAGCATCAAAAGGACATATTCAGCTTAATAATTATCTTGCTGAAGCAGGATAAAAAAGGTAAAAACTTACAGTGAATTTCTTTGTTTCACTATATTTGCTTTCACTGTAGACTTGTTTTAATAGAAGAAAAACCGTTTCCCAAGATTCACAAAACCATAGTAGATTTCTCAACAATAAAAAACCAGAGAAACTGATGGTTCCACGCTATCTTTGGCGAGTGAACGAAGACAGAAATTTTTACATAACTTTTAATATACTAAATTGGAAATTGTTGATACTAGGCAACAAAGCTCCAATACATGGAGAAATAATGACTACTGGTTTGTTTAAAAGTTCAACCGGTAATAAATAACATTTCCCACACATCGCCGCAATTTCAGTCGCAAACATTCACCCTCGGACTGAGATTCAACGCTAAATCCTTTGATCGCCGCTTTATTTTCTTTATTCTATTCTCATGCTGGTCTTGCATATTGAAGCACTTAAGTGTTTTCTTCAGAGATTTTTTAAAGCACAAAACCTATATAGATTCATATGGTATGCATGGTAAAACAAAATGCTAATATTTAGTCTAATTTGTCTTAGCAAACGAGACTGTAGATGGTAACAGATATGGTGACGAGACTTTAATCTATACCATAGGTAGAGTGAATCAACCATGGTACAGGAAATTCTAAATGGAGTAAGAAACTGCCATGGATATCATTTGTGAATTTATAAAACTCAAAAGATTTCAACCGGCGATGTTGCTCTTTCTCCATTAATTTCAATTGGATGATACACGTTTAGATACAGATAAAAATTGATATTGCATTAAAAGTTGATTGACAAATTAAATTTTATGCAACAATTCTAAGGATAAAACTAATACGTAAACATGGACATTCTAAGTATTTTAATTATTTTTTAATTTAATAAGTTAATTTGTGAATTTTTCCATCTTCATTCGAGAATGTTTCTTATTGTACAAATTTGAAAATTTACTTTGTATTTAAAGCATTCTTATATTAACGAGAAAAAACATAAAGAATCATTCTCATTGTATCATTGTTATACCGATATACTACGCTTCAACCCCGATACTCATTTCCATTAAAACAAAAATAGAATTGTTTATTGTTTTATAATTATGTTGACCGAAGACTATAATAGCAAGATATAAAAGTCTGATGTAGTTTTATGGGAAAAGACCCTCACCTATAAAAGAAACCGGGTCAGGGACTGGTCAGTACGTTATTGATAGATTCGTTTTCCGTGATTGACCCTTCATCGAACTTTGTGTTTTTAGCGTTTCGAGTCAAAACAAAAGTTCTATAAAAATAATACCTCAAAAGCGGATAGTAGATAGTAAAATAACTATTTTATTTGTTGCATTTTAGAAGTTTTTAATCAATTTAAGTGGCATATCTTTCGGAAAATGTGAAATGTTAATCTATTTTGAGCCTCTGCGATTCAGTTTTTCGTAACTATTCCTATATTTGATCTATACCATCACCTTAAAGGACCAAGTTTTCATTGTTTTTCTATTAATGTTCGTCATAACCACTTGCCATGCCTATCTTCATTTTGGTTTTACAACTGTTTGAAATTCTCTGTCATTTTGGTCTATCGTCTGATCCACAGGTTTGTTCACGCGTCGTTGACTTTCTTCTTTCAAATCTATTCATCTTAACAAATGCCTACTGATTATGAATGTTGTGTTTCTTCCAGGTATCGTATTGTTCTTTTTACACTATCTCTCGCATTTATCCTTATTTTGGGTGGCACTTAACCCTTTCACTATCACTTCCCTTTAGAGTGATTACAAAATTCTAATTTTTGGTATACAAAGTACTGTTGCACTATAGATTATTTTTTTTTACATAAAAAGAATTTAACTACCCCCACCCTTCCAGTACAGGATGTCCATCACAATGTACAAACAAAGTTCATGGAAATAAAAAAAACCATTGAGTGTTAATTTTTTATTAGAAACTCTTATAAATCAGATCATTGTCAAAAGTAATATAAATTATAACATTTACTTTGTATGAAATGTGGAAAAACAATTCCTTTCCTTTAAAATACATAAATGAACTTTGCATGTTTGACAAAATATATGTGTCCTGCTCTTACACCCCTCATTTTTGCATCTTGAGGCTTCCTTTTTATCATCATACTGTGGAAGATGATGGTATCCATCAAATCTAAGGTCTTTTAGAGGCCTTATTTCAGTTTTTTTCTTTTTGGAGGGACCTGGATCCTCGAAGCTTTTTGAAGGCCTGCCTCTTTTAGGAGCATGTCTACTGCAGGTTAGATTTTCGGCCACTTCTTGGCGAAAAGCTAACAAATCAAGAATTTCCCTCTTGTTTACTCCCAAAAGAATAGCTTGAGTGCGATACTCAAGCCATGAATTTACCAGGGCTAAATCAATGGCATGAGTGATCATTCTCACAGTCCATTTCTTTGATCTGACATAGGATCGGTATAGACTTAGTAAGAAGTCCAACTTGTCGACGCCGCCCATATTACTGTTGTATCGTCTTATAGCTTCAGGCCTGGGAATCTGCACATATTCTTTTCTTGTTTTGTCCCATCTTTTACATTCATCCAACTCTCCAATTCCAACGAAGTTAGATGCTGTCAGTACTGCCTTGTTATCATACCATTTTGTGATGACAATACCGTCCTTGCTAATTGCGGTAGCAGCAAAACCACGCCCATTTGTTTTCATTTCTTTATCGCTGGGTAACTTTGGATTGGCAAACCGGTTAACTCTTATGGTTCCTATACAGTATATAGACTTGGAGTCCAGATATTGGATCAAATTATAGGTACTAAAGAAATTGTCAAAAAATAGGCCGTGGTTTTTCTCAGATATTCTTTCACTAAGTTGCATAACTACAGCAGCTGCCGATCCATATTTTACGTAAATGGGATTAATGGGCGTTGTTGAACCTTGATAAATCAAGAAATCATATATCAGTCCACTCTGGCCAGCCAAGATGTAGATTTTGATACCCCATTTGTTGGGTTTGTTTTTCATATATTGTTTTATATTTATTTGTCCCTTGAATGGGACTATTTGCTCATCGACACACAAGTTAGTTTCTAGTGGTAGCTGCTGGCATCTTTTTCTTACTGACTCGTACAGACATCTGACTTTCCACAATCTGTAACAAAGCAATATAAATAAAGCAAGTTGAAGCAAATTTTGAAGAAGAAAAAACAAATTGAGTTGAGAGTGAAATAAATTAATTGGCTTATTGGTAGAAAATCTCAACTCTCTATTGAGAACAAACTGCTAATTTATAAAACAGTCATCAGACCTATATGGACATATGGAATCGAACTATGGAGTTGTGCCAGCAAATCAAATACAAAAATAATCCAAATAACGCAATCAAAAATTCTACGCACCATACCAAATGCCCCGTGGTATTTACATACTGCAGCCAATAAACAACAGAAGATTGCGAAGATTATGGCCCATAGATCTTCGCTGAAACTGAGGTGAAATCGCTGGGTCATGTACCTCATAACGCCATATTAGGGTACAATATTATAGTTTTTGTTATTGTGCTTGTTATCAAATTAACTTTGAGAATATGAAATTCTGATTGTTAATAAATTATTATATATAAAAAAAATACCAAAATTTGTTATCTAAATACCTACCTATCTTTGTTGTCTTCATTGCGACTCAAAATATCGACCAAATGTATTGTCTGTCGCAACTTGTAGAATCTAGACAGACTTAGGGAATCTTTTACTAATGGTATTCCTATACTACGGTGCCAATACATGCAGACTCTAGGAAACTGTAAGTTTCCCATAACAATATGGACCCCAATAAAAGTCTTGATTTCATCCAAGTTTGTAGGTGGAAATCGAGCAATATTTTTTTGTGTAGCATATAAATTTGTCATATCAGCCATTTGTTGTAGTATCTCATCAGGAACATATTTGGTAAAAAATTCAACTGGTGGTGGCAAATCTACAACAGGGGTAGTCGGAACGGTTGAATGCCAATGAATATTTCTTGTTTCGTATTGTACATTTTCCCCTTGTATCCAATTTATTTTTGATTTGTCAGTAAGACCATGTTCTTTCTCAAAATTTGTTTGGTTCCTTTTCATCTCATCTTTGTCATTTTCCCCCATATTTTCACCACTTACAGTTAGCACCAACCTTTCTTCTTCATCTGCCAAATCTACATCTTCAACGTCGCTGTTTTCAGGCTCATTTTCCTTTCCATTATTTTTATCTATAGTTACATCTAGAATGTCATTATTTCTTTGTTCTCTAGATATTTCGTCTGACTCCCAACCATCATCATCATCTGACAGGTACTCAATATCTGAAACATCATCGTTCTCGAGATAATAAAGAAGTTCTTCTTGGGTTAGCTTTCTTTTTGAATTTTTTCTTGCGTTTGCCATTATCTAAAAAACAAAAACAAACGCATGAAGGACAAACATTAGTAAATATCCATATAAAACAAAAAAAATTAAAAATTTGAAAACTACATTTAGTCAATTTTTAGGGGTGCCCCTCCCTCAACAATTTATTGTCTCGCGTCTCCACCATACCGACACTACTAATACCAAATAGAAATAAAATTTATAACTTTTGCAAAAACA